TGCTGTATATCTACTAATTGTTTAAATCTTTCATTTTATTTTACCAGCCTTTCACATATTCAATTGATAATTCATGATTATTCTTGGATGGATTACATCCTTCTTTTCCTCTCCGATATCCATATTTACATATAGTACCCTCATATAGACAACATTGGATACGATGTGCCTTTTTTGCATCTATGCTTTCGTCACCCGAAAATTTTTCTTGTGAAGTATTCTTAAATAGTATATGTCACCTCATTGTCTAGCCGCCTAAAAGCGTTCATTTCGGAATTGTTTAATACCCCATGCAAAATGGATTAAGATATAATACATTTATGTATAGACATTTCAAACCATTTAAAGAGTGGAAGATTTAAGACTCCTTTGTTCAGACTAGTTATTTTAAGGATCAAAGATATAAATCTTTTTGATGTGTAACTCATTTTTATCAATTTTTTTACTGATAGTAACTTTCTATTCTATATGTTGTTGGCTGTTCTTTTTAGGCAATCTTTTTTCTCTAAATGCTCTTAGTTTTTCATACTTCGGTCTTATTGGCACTGGGACTTTTGAGGATATCATTGTTTCTCTCTTATTTGTATCTGAACTCTTATATTCCTTATCTTCCGGTTGGAGCTTAAAAGCCACGAATGCCTGTCGAGTGCACCTCCAGATGCCTGCTTTAAGGACAAGGAAATACTTTTTGGTCCAGTTAACTTGTGTGTCTTGCGCTTTCTAACACTATTTTTTCAGGTTCTAATCTACTACTTGAAGCGAAATCTCATTCTCACTCAAGTGGATTTGGAAGATATTTTAGTTTTTGAAGTGCCAAATTGTATTCCTTTTTATATCTACAAACATTTAAAAGTTCATTTTGGGTAATATTTCCTGCCTAACATTTTAAATTAATTCTTCTGCAAATAGCTTCTCCACCAAGTTTTGCGGCCGAGGAGACACGGCGTTCATTCGTTCGTGACACTCGGTCAGCAATTCAGTTGGCTTATCAGCTTGTACGCGAAGCTCGTGACGTACGCAGCCAAGTTTCTGCTACTGCCTCCACTGGCTCTCCAGTGGCCGTGAATGCAGGGCCTCGTTCTCCGGGGCTCGAGGTTACCGCCAGTCGGTGTCAGCAAATGGCCGATGAACTGCAGGCCAGTCTTATGCGATGTCTACACGGCCTTCCTGGTCAGCGAGAGTTGACTGAGGCCGTTCACTTGGTAGAACGCCGGCGTGCTGATCTCGAGCATTTTCTGTTATCTGAAAGAGCAACGAATGCTGCAGGCCAGTCTGGTCCTGGTGTGGCCCAACCGGTCACGACAGACGAGTTTTCGGGCATGCAAGAACGATTCACCAGCGCTGCGGTCGAATTTAACCAAGTAAAGCTTTTCATCTTACCGTTTGAACCTCATCTCTATTTTCTCTATGAGTAGGTATCTAAATTATCAGTCATTCATGATAAGGAACTTAGTCATCTTAGATTATTTTG